ATTCTTTGCGCATCTATACTTTTTAAGCTCTTGCCATTTAAGAAATACTCTGCAAATGTTAATCTTACCAAAATAGATAACCTCATATTTTTCCACATTGTATTCCATCTACCATTTTCTAGCCCATTCACTAAGCCCATTGAAATCCTCCTGAAGCCTCTTTACATCTTTCTCACAACACACATTCCTGCTTAGTTTCATATCATCTGCAAATTTGGAAAAAAATTCATTCGGCCCCACAATCAAATCATCCATATATGTTGAGAACAGCCAGGGCCCAAGTTCTGATCCTTGCAGTACCCCACTAGTCACAGTTTGCCAATGCAAGGATGACCCATTCGTTCCTACTCTCTATTTTCTGACGAATAGACAATCGTTAATCAATGCCAAGACACTACCTCCCACCCCACAATCTCTAATTTTGCTAAACAAACTACTATGGGAGACCTTATCACTCTGGGATGTAGGCATTTGAGTCCTGGGGATTTATTAACTTTCAGCCCCATTGATTTCTCCAGGATAACCTTCTTACTAATGCTAATTACCTTCAACCCATCATTCTTCCTAGTCACTTGAATCAAGCTCTAGGACATTTCTTTTATCTTCCTCAGTGAAAACAGACACAAAGTAATCATTCAGCTTCTCTGCCATTTCTCTATTTCTCATTATAAATTCTCCTGACTCCTGTAATGGACCCATATTCACCTCAGCAAAACATCTTTTTACATACTTAGAGAAGCTCCAGTTTTATGTTTTTGCCAGATTCATTCATATTCTTTTCTTCCTTTCCTTATCAATTTCCTGGTCCTCCTTGACTGTATTCTAAAGGCCTACCAATCCTCATATTTACTACAGTTTTCAACAACTTTAGAAATCTTTTCTTTTAACCTAATATGATCCTTAACTTTCTTTATCAGCCAAAATTGACTGACCTTTTTCAGAGTTTTTACATCTTGTAGAAATGTAGTCATGTAATAGCTCTTGAAATACTATCCATTGCCTAAGTACAGACATGCCTTTAAATGTATTTTCCAAACAGGGGTGACACAGTACCTAACTGGTTAGCCCTGCTGCCTCACAGCACCAGGGACCTGGATTCAATTCCAGCCTTGTGTGACCGCGTGTGTGGAATTTGCATGTTCTCCCCATGTCTGCATAGGTTTCCACTGAGTGCTCCAGTTTCCTCCCACAGTCCAAAGATAAGCAGGTTAGATTTGTGTGGAGAACGTTTGTGTGGAGTTTGCACAGTCGTCTGAGGCTGGAATCACACCTGAGTCCCTGGTGCTGAGACAGCAGTCCTAACCACTGAGCCACTGTGCCGCCCTTATTTAGCCCTTTGTCAACATGTAATATTATGAGTAAAGTAATCTGTCTTCTTGTTGGCTCCTCAACAAACTGCTCTATAAAGCAATCCCTAACTCCTTCCAGAAACTTGTCTTCTACAGCTTTAGTGCTCAATTGGTTTACCCACTCTCTATGCACATTGAAGTCACCCACGATTACTGTATTGCCCATGCCACATGCTTCTCATATCACAAAATTAATACCATATCCCTCACTACTGTTTGGTGGCCTATTAATAAGTTGAATGAATGTCTGCTGTCTCTTGCTGTTTCTCAGCTCCACTAAGGCGGATTGCACACATTGTTCTTCTGATCTGAGATCCTTCTTTACTAATGTACTGATCTCATCATTATTATCAACACAACCCCACCTCCTTTGCCCTTTTGTCTATCTTTCCTAAACATTAAACATCCTTGGTGACTGCCATTTCTCCTTGACATAAGTGACTTGAATTCTGAAATTCAATACGAAATCATAAATTTGTAGATGACTAGGAGCTGGATATGGAATTGAAGGAGACAACACAGAAACTATAGAACGAAATGGCTAAGATGCGTAAGTGAGTAGATAAATGGCAAATGTAATTTAAATGTAAATAATCACATTTAAAGATAAAAATGTGTTGCAATGGGCTATTGGTGAAGTGAAACTTGACTGAGTCTTAACAAACTCAGCATTAAATGTGGCCACCAGTGCAGAGCAACAACCAACAACCAACAAAGCCAATAAAATGTCAAAATTACATAGTCAAGATGTTAAAGGTGGTTGACTCTTAACTATCTTCTGGGCAATTAGAGAAGCACAATAAATGCTAGCTGGCGATGCCTACATCCTGTGAATGAGTAAAGAAAGTCAGACCTCCTGATCATTGACAAGGTCAAGTGTGGGATATGCACATTTGAGTTTGCATACCTCGGGACTGAGAAATTGGAGGTGCGATCTGTATTTGGGGGAGCAGTAATTTGTTTCGTAGTGACTGGAACCAAGTTGATCTCCTTGACTACGAGGTCCTTGATTGGTGTTGTTAACCTGGGCCAATCAAGGAGTCCTGGCTGACCAATATTAACAGGGGATTTAGAATCTCCTCACTTCAGGGGGCTGACTCCGAGCCAGCTGGCCACAGCTAGTGTATTGTGCGCAAGTAAATAAAGGGTGACTTGGTGACCGGATACAGGTTTTAAAAAAAGTTTCAAAAAAGATTAATCCTCTCCATCTCACCAGACAGTGAAGAAGGTTAGCTAAGGTTACAAACAGATCTTCATCAACTGGGTCACTGCACTGAAGATTGGCAGATGGAGTTTAATTTTGATAAAAGCAAGACATTGCACTTTGGTAAAACAAACAATGGTAGAGCTTATGCAAGTAAAAGTAGGGCTTTGGGTAGTGTTGTAGAACACAGATCTAGGGCTTCAGGTACATAATTCTTTGAATTTTGCATCACATATAGACAAGGTGGTTAAGAAGGTGTTTAGCATGTTTGCCTTCATTGCTCAGATCTCGGAGTATAGGAGTTGGGACATTATGTTGAGGTTGTACAGGATGTTGGTGAGGCCTCTTCTGGAGTACAGTTCCAGTTCTGGTCACCCTGTTATATGGAGGATATTATTAGACTGGAGAGAGTTCAGAAGAGAGTCACTAGGATGTTGCTAAGAATGGAGGGTTTTACTTATAAGGAGAGGCTGGAAGGCTGGGACTTTTTTTTGCTGGAGCATTGGAGGTTGAAAGGTGACCTTATAGAGTCATAGAGTCATACAGCATGGAAACAAACCCTTCGGTCCAACTGGTTCATGCCGAACATAGTTCCAATCTAAATTAGTCCTGTCTGCCTGCTCCTGGCCCATATCCCTCCAAATCTTTCCTATTCATGTACTTATCCAAATGCCTTTTAAACCCACATCCAACACTTCCTCAGGAAATTCATTCCACACACGAATCACCTTCTGTGTAAAAAAAAAATTAGAGTTTTATTAAGTTACGAGGGGTAGAGATAAGTTGAATGGCAGGTGTCATTTCCCTATGGTGGGGGATTTCAGGACCAGAGGAAATATTTTTAAGGTGAAAGGGGAAAGATTTAAAAAAGAAACGAGGGGCAACCTTTTTACACAGAGTGGTTTGTGTGTGGAATGAACATCCAGAGGAAGTGGTGGATGTGGGTACAGTTACAATGTTTAAAAGACATTTGGATAAGTACATGAATAAGAAATATTTGGAGGGATATGGGCCAAGCACAGGCAGGTGGGACTAGTTTAATTTGAGATTATGCTCGGCATGGACTGGTTGGACCAAAGGGTCTGTATTCGTACTGTCTGGGTCTTTGACTCTATGACTCGCCTCCGTTCCAAACACCAGAATACTCTCAATACCCAATGAATTGAAAGATCATAAGGTGTATACTGAAAGACTGTCAGTTCAAAAATAGCAGGTCAGGAGAGAAGGAGTGGAGATGTAATATCTAAATAAACTAGCAAACAGAGAGAAGCTGTTCATCAAACAGGTAAATCATGTGTCATGATAGAGATGGAAGTCAAAGATGAGAAAGTATTCCTGTATATTTGACACTTTTGCAGAAAGTATTGAATATCAGGAGGGGCAGGGGTGTGCTGTTTAGTGAAAACACATGTTAATACGTGACATTTAAAAGTTGAACACTCTAGAGGTTAAAACAAACACAATATTTGACTCAGAGGAAATGTCTTAATTATGATTAAAAGCTGAAATGTGCTCGATGACTACATTTGTAAGGGGGTGGTATGTTTCTGATGTTTAAATTGATTTTGTTTTGATTGAAATTACTGTGCTTATCTGACACACTTTCAGTTGCTCGCTCTTACACATTTTCTTTCTGTGGGACTTAAGTTTTCTCTTGTAGCACATTAGTCAATGGAATTGTCTATATTTCCTTGTGTGCATTTAAACAGATTAACAAACAGGTTAAAAACTTTATGCAGCTGATTGTTTCAAGAGTGGATTACTTTTCCTCTGTGGTTGAAGTGGAGATCATTGCATCTTCAAGGAGAAACATGGCGAAATATTCAAAGAAGAGAAGTTTTCACTTGAATTCTGAATTGTTCTATTCGACGTATTGGAACAAATACTTCTTTTTCTATTGTGTACATCAATTCTATTGCATTTTATATGAATCCATTAACTTGTTACTAGAGGGGTGAAACCTCTTAGTGTCTCTCATTCTGTCTTTATCCCACTCTGTTTGCCTCATACATTTTATTTCTGCATGCCTGCCTCTTTCAGTGCACACAGATAGTATACTGCTCCAACTGCAAAACATGATCTCCCCTTCCAGTTGTCAATCAACCCCTCAAATTCACTTTGGAAGATCTAACACAAATGTGAGTGGGGTACAGACTCTGTTGTCCAGAAAGGCTTTGTGGAGCAATTAGTAGTAGATCAGAGGGCTTGGATCGGAGGTTGGGAGACAGGAGAAACCTTAGCAGAATATGAACTCATTAATTTCTTATAAACTCTAAACAAAGTATAATATTTGAAATTCATTTACAAGGTGCACACAAATAAAATCTATATCTTTTGCAATGATCAGGGCATACAGAAATGAGAAAAAAATTTTTAAGAAATACAAGTATTATACAGATAAATAATAACTCAGCAAAGCCTAACAAAGTTTTTGAACGGTTGTGTACCTTCCGGTAGTTGGCTTGGGCATCCTTAAAACGCTGACTTAAGTTTCTAACACAATCTATGATCAGCTGCCAAGCTAGGTAGTTCTGAAGAGTACTAAAACAAAATAAGTATAACATTAGTAGTTGAAGTCCAATATAGTCAAAGCACAGAAATTGCTGTTGAAATACCTTTGCATTTACCTTTTTCCAGGCATTGTAGGAGGAAAGATTGAGCATTTTAAAAAGATGAGCCTCTCCAAATATGAAAAGGAGTTCCAAAACCATTCTAAAATCAGAGAGGTATACTTTAAAGACTAGGGGTCAGCAGAGTGTCCAGACAAGACCATCTTACATGAAGGGATTGAATATACCTGTATAACGTTAGTGACAGACACAATAACATGTTTACATGAAGTTCTTTTGTCTCTGGGTCATCAACGATAACAATTCTCTTAAACTGTTCAAAGAGGCTCCATTGACCTCTCTAAGACCATAGCATACAGGAGCAGAATTAGGCCTTTTGGTCCAGGTGGAGCACTGTTTTTTGGACTGGAGGCCTGTGACCAGCAGTGTTCCACAGGGATCGCTGCTGGGTCCACTGTTGTTTGTCATTTATATAAACAATTTGGATGAGAATTTAGGGAGCATGGTTGGTAAGTTTGCGGATGACACCAAAATTGATGGTATAGTGGACAGTGAAGAAGCTTGTCAAAGTTTACAAATAGATTTTGATCAATTGGCCAATTAGCTGAGGAGTGACAAATGGAGCTTATTTTGGATAAATACAAGGTGTTGCATTTTGGTAAGATAAACAAGGGTAGGACTTATACAATTAATGGTAGGTCCCTGGGGAGTGTTGCTGAACAAACAGACTGAGGGGTGCAGGTGTATAATTGCTTGAAACTAGAGTCACAGGTACACAGGGTGGTGAAGAAGGCACCAAAAACAGAAATTGCTGGAAAAGCTCAGCAGGTCTGGCAGCATCTGTGGAGAGAAATCGGAGTTAATGTTTTGGGTCGAGTGACCCTTCCTCAGAACTTGACACAAAACGTTAACTCTGATTTTTCTCCAAATACGTTGGCAGACCTGCTGAGCTTTTCCAGCAATTTCTGTTTTTGTTTCTGATTTACAGCATCCGCAGTTCTTTCGGTTTTTATTTGATGAAGACGACATTTGGCACGTTTGCCTTCATTGATCAGACCACTGAATATAGGAGTTGAAGCGTTTTACTGCAGTTGTACAGGACATTGGTGAGGCCACTTTTGGAGTACTGTGTACAGTTCTAGTCGCCGTGCCTAAAGGAAGGATATTACTAAATTGAAGAGGATGCAGAAAAGATTTACAAGGGTGTTACTGGGACTGGAGGGTTTGAGTTATAAGAAGTTGGATAGCCTGGGACTTTTTTCACTGGAGCGTAGGAGGTTGAGGGGGGACCTTATAGAGGTTTATAAAATAATGAGGGACATAAAGTGACTAGTACCTTTTCCCTCAGGTAGGGGAGTTCAAATCTAGAGGGCATAATTTAAGGTGAGAGGAGAAAGATTTAAAATGGATCTGAAGGGCAACTTTTTCTCACAGAGGGTGGATCGTACATGGAATGACTTACCAAAGGAAGTGGCAGATGCAGGTACAGTTACATCATTTGGACAGGTACATGAATAGGAAAGGTGTAGAGGGATATGGGCCAAACCCAGGCAACTAGGATTAGTTTAGTTTGGGAAACTTGGTCACCATGGAAGAATTGGACTAAAGGGTCAGTTTCTGTGCTGTATGATTCTCTGACTCTATGGATCTCCTCTGCCATTTGATCATGGCTGATATGTTTCTCAACCCCATTCTCTTGCCTTCTCCCTGTAACCTTTGATCCCCTTACTAATCAAGAACCTATCTATGTCTGTCTTAAATGCACTCAATGACTGTCACAGGTTCAAAACCCTATGGCTGAAGTATTTCCTCCTCCTCATCTCAGTTCCAAAGGATCGTCCCTTCACTCTAAAGTTGTGGCCATGGTCCTAGTGTCTCCAATTAGTGGAGACAACTTCTCCACATTCACTCTATCTGTTCCTCTTAGTATTCTGTAAGTTTCAATCATATCCCATCTGATGCTTCTAAACTCCATTGTGTCCAGACCCAGAGTTCTCAACTGCTCCTCATATTACAAGCCTTCCATCTCCAGGATGATTTTTTGTAAATCTCCCCTGCACTCCCTCCAACAGCATAGAACATAGAACAGGACAGCACAGTACAGGCCCTTCGGCCCACGATGTTGAGCTGAACTTTTACCCTAAACCTAAGGTCTATCTAACCTCCACCCCTACCTTATACTATCATCCATATGCCTATCTAATAGCTGCTTAAATGCCCCTAATGAGGCCGACTCCACTACCCTCTCCGGCAATGCATTCCACGCCCCTACCACTCTCTGAGTAAAGAACCTACCTCTGACGTCTCCCCTATATCTACCTCCACTCACTTTAAAACTATGCTCCCTCGTAACAGCTACCTCCACCCTAGGAAAAAGTCTCTGGGCTGTCCATTCTATCTATACCTCTGATCATTTTGTACACCTCTATCAAGTCACCTCTCATCCTTCGTCGTTCTAAAGAGAAAAGCCCTAGCTCTCTCAACCTTTCCTCGTAAGACCTTCCCTCCATTCCAGGCAACATCTTGGTAAATCTCCTCCGCACCTTTTCCAACGCTTCCACATCTTTCCTGTAATGAGGCGACCAGAACTGGATACAATACTCCAGATGTGGCCAAACCAGCAGCACATCCTTTCTTAGATACAGGGCCCAAAACTGCTCATAGCATTTTGAATACGGTCTGACCAAAGCCTTATACAGTCTCAGCTCTTGCATCCTAATTCTCTTGAAATGAATGCTAACATTGCACTTACCTTCCTAACTGCCAATTGAACCTGCATGTTAACCTTAGCAGAATCCTGATCTAGGATTCCCAAGTCCTTTTGTGCTTTAGATTTCTGAAGCCCTTCCCCATTTAGAAAATTGTCTGTGCCTCTATTCTTCCTACCATAGTGCATAACTTCACACATTCCCATATTGATTTCCATTTGCCACTTTGTGCCCGTTCTCCTAGCCTGTCCAAGTCTTTTGGCAGCTTCCTCAATACTACATGTCCCTGCACCTTTGTGTCATCTGAAAACTGAGCAGCAGTGTGCTCAGTTCCACTGTCCATCTCATTAATTTATAACATAAATAGTTGCGGTCCCAACATTGACCCCTGAGGAACTCTACTACTCACAAGCTACCATACAGAAAAAGAACTCTCTGCCTTTGGTCAGTCAGCAATCCTCTGTCAATTCCAGTACCTTGCTGCTAACACCAGGAGTTCTTAACTTATTTCGCAGCCTCCTGTGCGGCACCTTGTCAAAGGCCTTCTCGAGCTGCAAAAAGATCATGCCTACTTGTTCTCCTTTGTCTAACTTGCTTGTTACCTCTTCAAAGAATTCAACAGATTTGTCGGGCAAGACTTTCCCTTGACAAAGCCATGGTGACTCAGCCCTCTTTTACCAGGAATTTCCAAGTACTCCACAACCTTATCCTTAATAATGGAACCTAAAAACTTAAAAATAACCGAAATCAAGCTAACCGGACTATAGTTGTCAGTCTTCTGCCTCCCTCCCTCCTTAAACGTGGGAAATGACATTTTGTTTTGTTGGCATGAAACTGTTTCAAAGCAACAATCTGAGTCTTCTCTATATTCTGAATCTACAGCACTTCCCGCAGTTTTCGATTGGCAAGTACCACATGATGTAGTGGTATCTTTTCAGATTACACCTGGTTTAAGAAATCTCTTGGATTGGTTTTGATGGCCTGAAGGGACAGAAGGGAATTTTCTAAGAGATTTTCCCCTTATTGGTCCTCAGATTTTTTTTCTCACTGCTTTTCCTTCTTCCAGGAATTATGTGGCTGCAAGAGGGAGCTGTTGCAGCCATCATGATATGGGAGCAGGCACAATGGGCCAACTAGTCTTTTCCAAGCCACCAACTCGTTTGTTTGGATGTAAGCAATAAAATAATGGATAGCAGAATGTCATGCTAAGAGAACAATGAAATGGCAGTGTGGCTCTCGTTCTATTAAATACCTAGCAAATGGTAGGGAGAAGTTTGAGCTACAATTACATTGCGGGGAAAATTTCCTCTTGTGTAAGTAAAAATTTTGTGAAGGTCTTCACCTTCTGCATTTATCAATTTGCTTCAATAACAAAGGAACTTTTTCCATTGTGTTCAAAATATTTTCTAATGCACAACTGCCAAAGGAAAATCTATTCATGAGTTCGACTGGATTAGGGACATAGTGAGAAGATACAGGGAATGCTTAAAGATCACTGAAAGAGCAGAGCATTCAATGAGCTGAAGATCTTTTGCTGAAATTTCCTAAGTTCCAACTGAAAGTCAATCCCTGAAGTAAGGTATCAACTGACGTGGCCCAACATAAATCATTCTAAATTAACATTCTATTATGAATTTGAATTCTCCTGATTATATACGTCCAATATATGTACTGACTACATAAAGGTTGACTAGCATTATGTACGCAGTTGCCATGCTGAGTGTCTGATTTGTAAACTGCATAGTGAATAAGTGTCAGGACTTTCAAACCTTGACCCATGAACATATTGCAATACTCACTGTGGAACCCATGTGTAACATTTATTTGTCAGTTTCATCAACTACTCTTGCAAACCTCTCCATTATTACTGTACAAGTAAAGGATGTAATGTGCCTCTGACATGCATGAAAAACTATTGCAGCACCGGCTTTGAAATTGTTCACAAGGTGGGGCGTGGGGGAGTGACATGTCACTTTCCCACCATCATGTCCATGGGATTGGTGGTGGTGGTTGGGGCTGGGGCTGGGGCTGGAGGGGGGGTGCACTTGCAGGTTGAGGGGAATTGGAGTTGCCATAGATGTGTCCAAAATTAGTCTGTTAGCCTACCCCATGCAAATGAGGTTCCTTCATGCTGGCCCTGTGAACTCTGTAGGCGTCAGATGTGGTGGCTCTCTTTGGCACTGTAGTGTGATTCCCAGCTCAAAACCCATGATAACAGCTGCTGAGAAACTGCAAACTGAGCTACTAAGCTGCATAAAAAAATCAACTTTTTCCTAGCTACCATCAGTTCTGAGGAAGGGTCATTGGACCTGAAATGTTAACTCTGATTTCCCTTCACAGATGCTGCCAGACCTGCTGAGCATTTCCACTAACTTCTGAGAAACTTGATGGTCATTGGGCCCAACTTCATACAGACAAAAACCTGACAACTCTATGATTGTGATTTTTTTTATGGTCTAGGGACAATAGCTTGTGGGTAACATCCTTTTGAGGTTATCCACATTGGTGGCAGAAACAGGAAGGTAGCTAATTAATCGATTGGGAAAGGGGGAGGTGCAGTGAGACCTTGGTGTCCTGGTACACCAGTCATGGAAATAAGCAAAGGTCATGGGGTAAGCTATTTAGGACTGAAATGAGGAGAAATTTCTTCAGAGAGTGGCGAACTTGTGGAATTCTCTGCCTCAAAAAGTGGCTAAGGCCAAAACATTGATGGTTTTCAAGGAGTGAGATATAGTTCTCAGGCCTAGAGAGACCAAAGGGTATGGGGACAAAGTGGGAACAGGGAATGGAATTGGATGATCAGCCATGATCATATTGAATAGAACAGCAGGCTTGAGGGCAGAATGGCCTACTCCTGTGCCTGTTTTCTATATTTCTATTCCTTCATCTCAGTGTGAAAATAACACTCTTTTGTAAAACATTGTTTTATTTGTGGCAGAATGGGCAGCCACCATCAGCTTCTGTTTAAAACTACTTTGGTCATGTCTACTGAGGGGATAGACAAGGTGATTTATTGCAACTCAAAGTTGGGTCTGTCCACCAGCACAAGATCAGAACATTCACCAATTACTAAAATGAAATTGAGCAGATCACACAAACCATAATAAAACAATTTAGAATATAATAGCTTTACCTCTTTGAGTATTTGGGGAGGATATACTTAAGTTTCTGAAGATATTCAGTGCCATAGACCACAATTTCTTCTTCTGGATGGACTTCAATATTGACACTAGCCATGATCCCTTGAAAAAATTGCGTCCAGTTAAATCCCTGGAGATACAGACATGAAATCAAAGAATTGAGCAGTTAATACTCAGCAGGTCCGGCATCACCTGTGAAGAAAAAATCAGTTAACACTTTGGGTCCGGTGACCCTTCCTCAGAGCTGTTTTTTTTCAGTTTTTAATTGAGCAGTTAATACTTGTTTGTTCAATAATACCATAGAAGAGACTGGATATTAAAATGATACAAATTAGGTTCAGGTACCAATAATCATACCTGTCAGAAGCTGTACAGAAAGGAAAGCACAAAAAAAAAATCTATGGACAAGTTAAGTTATTCCATATTCTCACAAAGAGCCAATATCCTCACTTCTTTGACAGAAAGGCACAGTTAAACAAGATATCCAAAAGGTACAATGGTTAACACTGTGAAGTAGGGAATCATGAGCTGAAAATTACAATGATTTGTATCTAGATAGAAGGCTACATGGTAACTGAAGTATGCAGATGGGAGAACAACATACAAAGAGGACCAGTCAGAGACGAAGGAACCAATCTGAACATTACTGACAATTGTGGAACCAGACAGACAATTATGCAATCATTACATCTTTCCTTAGTATTAACCTAAATATCATGCCTGATATCTAATGTAAAATGTGTACCTACAGAAAGCAATCACTGAAATAAATCTACTCACATTGAGATCAAATTTCACTTGAAGCTCTGGAAGTGTCATTCTATTATAGAGTTTTGTAATATCGTGCCTTTCCTCTGGAGGTGCAGTAGCCTATAGAGAGAGAGAGAGAATCCGATTTACTTAAGCTTCTACCTGTGATAGTTTGTTTCCATAATGGGAATATAGGCAATTTACCTCCTGGAGATAACCTTAGGCAGCTCAATAGAGATCAGCATCACTCAATTATGAAGTGAATTGATAGGGTGGATGTTTCTACTTGTGGGGACTGTTCAAAATTCTGGTTCATAATCATTTGTCACTAATACATTGAAACAAGTATTTAGGAGAAACTTCTTTACCCCGTATATGGCTTTAATGTGGAAAATACTACCAGGAGGAATTGTTAAGGTTACCAACATAATGTCAGAGGAAGTTGAGGGAAAATAAATAATATAAGACCTTAGACCATAAGATACAGGAGCAGAATTAAGCTATTCGGCTCATCAAGTCTGCTCTGCTATTTGATCATAGCTGATATATTTCTTAACCCCATTCTCCTGCCTTCCCCTCATAACTCTCGATTCCCTCACTAATCAAGAACCTATCTATCTTCGTCTTAAATACACTTAATGACTTGGCCTCCACAGCCTTCTGTAGCAATGAGACCCTCTGGCTGAAGAAATTCTTCCTCATCTCAGTTCTAAAGCATTGTACCTTCTCTCTGAGGCTGTTTCCTGGTGTCTTCTACTAGTGGAAACATATTCTCCATGTCCACTCTATCCAGGCCTCTCAATATTCTGTATATTTCAATGAGATCCCCCTTTACCCTTCTAAACTCCATTGAGTAAAGGCTCAGAGTCCTCAAATGCTCCTCATGTGACAAGATCTTCATCCAGAGATTATTCTTGTTAACCTCCTATGGACCCGCTCCAAGGCCAGCACATCCTTGCTTAGGTACAGCACCCAGTACTGCTCACAATATTGACAGGCAAGATGAAGAGGGGTTGGAGGAGGCTGATTTGGAGCTATAGCACTTTCTGTGCTGTAATTTCTGCGGAATCCTAATCAAGCTGCAAAATCTCGCCTGGCTCTACTGGGTACCTGTGCAAAGTGACTTCTACATCATCACACTTGCCCACAAAAGCACAGAAATGCACAAAGCTAGATCACAAGTCAGGAGATTGGGCAGAATATAAAAAGCAGCAAAACTGACTAAAGGGCTAATAAATATGGAAAAACTACAGTATGAAAGAATTTTAGCTAAAAATATAATGACAGATGGATAGTAAGACTTTCTACAGCTGTTTAAAAATGAAGAGCGAACAAAGCCCGATAGAAAATGAGTGTGGGAACTAACTGTGAAAAATAAGGAGTTGGCAGATGAACCAACAGGTTTGCATCAGTCTTCACTGTCGAAGCACTAGAGAGGGTGCAGAGAATTTTTAAACAGGCAATACAGGCAAAGCTTGTTTATAAATATTGGGAAAAGATTGAGGCTTTTTATTGTTGAAGAAAATCAAAAGACTTACAGATGACTCAATAAATGAAAAATAGATTAAAAATATGAAAAGTTTTGATAGAGTGCTTACAAAAAGAATACTTGCTCTTGTGGGCAAGAGCATAACTTGAGGCTATTGGTAAAACATAGTCATCAAGAAATCCAACAGGGAAATCAGAAGAAACATCTCCACCCAAACACTGGAGAGAATGTTGAACACACTATTCCAGGAAGTGAATGGGGTAGACACACTTCAGGGGGAGTTAGCCAAGCAAATGGTTGAGAAAGGAATGGACGTTTATGATTGATTTGATTTATTGTTGTCGCATTCACCTAAGTACAGTGATAAGTTTTGTTTTGTGTGCGGTACAGGAAGAAATATGAGAATAAGATCTGCTGTAGACAGCTCGCAAAGAGTTACCCAGTGTCAGTGCCATCTTGAATATGTTTGGTTTAGCTTATGAGAGATGGGAGGAGGGTCTAGTGGAGCATAAATGGACTGATTCCACTGAATGGCCTTTTTCTGTGCTGTATACCCAATGTAATCCCATTAGTTAATTGATCTCAGGTAATATGGGAGAATCTCTACAATCATTCAGCCTCGGTAATTTTTTGGTTGATATTGTCTAATCTGCAGTCTCATTTCTTGCTCCTGATCACTACATCTCACCTTCTGATCTTGCTCAGGAGAGGCCATATGATATATGATGCCCTCAAGTATGCTTGCGAACATTCACAGGTTAGGTTAGATGTTAGCTACAAGACTGTTGACAATTGAAAGAGGAGCCTTTCAAGAACGGTTAGGGATGAGGGGAAGGGGAGAGAAAAAAACAAGACGACATGGACATCTAAATCTTGAGAAATACATTTTGTTTTATTTATGAATTTATGTATGTAATAGCCAGTTTATTTCTGAGTCAATGTTAAAAAAAGGAGGGTACATTGCACCATGATGCAGCTGGACTGACAAAACCTTCACACCTCATTAATCCATCAAAGTATGCAACCTGACCATCTGATCATTTGGATCTTATTCAAATAAATTGTTATAATAATAATAGTGAATCCAGATGCAGCTGTTTAATTGCACAACTAATCAAGTATAATTGAGCAGTATGCATGCATTTTGATGGCATAGAAAGTTTCCAACTGATCAACATATTGTAAAACTTGCATCTCAGATTTATCCATTCCTTATTTTCCATTGACTCCACTCTATTGTTTTATGATAGACTTATTCACTATTTCTTGTTTGAGATATTTCATTCATAAATCTCTGGTTTTGTGGTAGCATTCCTGCCTCTGTGTGAAGACTGTCCTGAAGGTGACTGAAAACCTCAGTTAATGTGTGGTCAGAATCCAGCAGCATGTGTGCTGCTGTATCCAATACGAGGCATTAAGGAAGAACACAACAGAAGGATGGACATGTTTTCAAGGAGAACATGAGCCAGGACCAAACAAAAACAGAAACTGCTGGAGAAACTCAGCAGATCAGGCAGCATCTGTGAGGAGAGTACAGCATTAATGTTCTGAGTCCAGTGACCCTTCTTCAGAACAAAGTCCAGCAACTTCTGAGGGGTCACTGAACACGAAACATTAACACTGTTTGTTGCTCTTAGATCCTGCCAAAATTGCTGAGTTTCTGTTTCTGTTTTTGCTTGTTTTAGATCTCCAGCATCTGCAGTTCTTTACTAAACAAAAAAACTAAAAAAACTGCTAATAATGGAAATCAGAAACAAAAACCGAATTTGCTGAAAAAACTCAGCAGGTCTGGCAGCATTTGTGGGAGGAAGCAAAGCTAACAGTTAGGGTGTAGTGACCATTCTTCAGAGCAGTTCTGAAGAGGAGTCACTGGACCCGAAACATTAATTCTGCTGTCTCTCCACAGATGCTGCCAGTCCTGCTGAGTTTTTCCAGCAATTTCCACTTTCGTTTCTGCAGTTCATTGTTTTATTATAAGAGCTAGGACCACATGCTTAAGGAGAATGGTACAATTCTTCAACGCAATTGTGTACTGTGCTTCCTGTTCATCATTCTACCTGCATGGAAAAGATATAGAAATCTCAAATACTTACATTTGCCAAATCAATTTCAAGCTCCAGGACTTTTGTCATTTCTTCTTTAACAAAAGTGTCATTTTTTGTCACGTTTCTGTCTTCCCTGATCATCTTAGCAATTATGATCATAAATTGCAAATAAGCTTCACGCACCTTTATAAAGAGCAACACCATTATATTCAGGGAGCAATTTATCTGATTGATACAAGCATACAGGTTTTTACATTTGTACACCCTTTTACTGTGGGGTAAATGTTTGCCTTTTACACTTCCAATACAATGAAAATGCATTTATCTTTTATCCATTCTTGGGATGTACAAAACACTGACAAGGCAGAATTTATTACACATCTGCAGGTACTCTGAGACCAATTAAAGTCAGCCACATAATATAGAACTTGAGTTACAAGTAGGTCCTTCAAGGTAGGGTTCATAGGTTAGTGGATTTATGAGTTTTTATGACAATTTCATAGTTATTTTCTGGTGCCAGAATGAAAATTTGCAGATGTTTTGAATTCTGTTCACAACTTGGTAAAAAGGGATTTGAACTCAGAATCTCTGTCATTAATCCAAAACTATAATCACTGGGCTATTGTACCCAGCATATTAGGACATTGGGCACATGTCCAATATTCTGCCCCATTTTAAAAGTTGAAGCCATAAATCAGACGTATTCCTGAGTTCCAGCGTATGTTGCCTGCATAGTTCGGTGCCAAAAAGGCTAAATATGAATGTTTACCTTTCTGCACGAGCTAACAAACTGAAGAGACTAGAGGTGAACAAGAGTGTTGTCTTCGGTTAGCTTTATTAGTCAGAAAACAAAAGTGGTGATTTCCTGAGAGATCTTCTTCAACCACTAGTTTGAGGAATCAGTCCAGTTTTTAAAAAAAAGTTGTAAGATAACTGCGTAATTCCTTGAAATGAGACATGTTTAAAGGGAGGAAAAACAATAGTCGAAAACTCATGAATGTGTGGAAATAGATAGTAGATTGCAACCAGTAAGAATCCATGACATTTTCTGTGTAGTCAGTCTCAGAGCTCACCCTCTTGTAGTTTCCATTTCTGAAATAATAATCTCTGGAAGGCATCCCCAGATTGGGCTGATCAACCTGCAAGAGTTACAGGCAACACATTAAACGCAAGGCTCGCATTGATGTAAACTGATTTTTGCTTCTCTAGAATAATATCCAAGAAATTTGACACCAACAAGAAGAAAGGATCCCACTCCTTCTACCATTGACTCATTGTGGGGCAGCATTGCGGACTATCTACAATATTCACTGCAGCAGTGTACTAATGTTCCTTTGACAGCACTGGTTTAAAATCTACTAATGACATTCAGGACAAAGCAGCCTTCTTTGTTGGAACCCCACCTTAAACATTAATTTCCTACATCACTAATTCACAATGAAAGCTGTGCAACTTGCAACAAATCACCCAGGCCCTTCCAACAGCACCACTCAAACATGTAACCTCTACCAACTAGAAGGATAAGGAAAAGGCACATGGGAACACCACCAGCCACAAATTCTGCTCCACATCACACAGCATCTGGACTTGGGGACTATATTGCTGCTCCTTTACTGCTGCTAGGTCAAAATCCTGGAATTTCCTCCTTAATGTGGATGTGGTGATACCACATGGACTGCAGTAGTCCATTGCTTTCTGAAGGGCAGTCAGGGATGGGTAATAATCCTGGCCAATATTCCTGTTTAAGAATAAAACCATTGATTCAAGGATACAGGAATGGGCACTTCCTTGAAAATTGCTAGTCATTCTCCAGCCATTCATTTTAATGGTTGGACCTTTGTTGGGAACGTGTCCTGGGCTCTCTGACAGATGATAACGACAATGAGTGACATTCCTAGCTGGCAGCATGGATTCACAACATGACAACATAAAACATTTGGGCACATGAGCAACCTGACTATGTTTTGCACTGGTGGCAATTGGAAGGGTGTTAAATCCAGTTTCCAGCTTGCAGATCACAAGGTGGCCCCATGAGCAGTACATTCAGGTGATTCTCGTGAATTCCCTGTGCCCTAACTCATCAGCAAATGTAAATACATGATCTCTGAAAAGTTAGAATATTTTGCAAAGTGTGAGAAAATGTATTTTGATTAGAGATTCCTGGTGGCCAATATTCACCATTAGAAACACGAGGTCAAAATGAAGAAAAAAAACTCAGGTTGCATCAAATAATCTAGTTGAAATTCATATATTCAAGGAATAATCACAAGTTCAAAAATTTAAACAGATAGTTGATGCTTCTATGAATGACTGATAAAGGATATGAAGTGAATCAAGCACCAATCATTTGGAGTGACAGTTACTCATGATGCATGTTACTATCAAGCATTATGCCAATGCAAAAAAAAAGCTTTAAATGCTCTTTTAAAGTATTACATTCTCTTAGATCCTCAAGTGGCAAATTTATGGTACCTACATTTGCATACAGAGGATTCCTTATGTGCCAATGTTACATAGATTACCTCCCATCTATGCAGCAAAAGACTATTCAACACCAATGGCTTAAAGTGGAAATGGATGATATTTTGCTTACATGAATGATATGTTTACTCGAGTTTCTGTCATCAGTCCAAACAAACATCTCCACAATAACTCTCTTGTTGTAATGGGCATTGAGTTGTGGTAGGATGGTCTCCAAACTCCAGTCAGGCTCTGAAGAGACAGAATGAAAGCAACACCTATAAATTTTGGAGAAAACTTTTCACACAAGATAGCATACGTGGCGGGCTCCATCTGAATCCACCTCATCCAATAAGCATAGAAAAAGTAATCTGCATCCCTCCCTCGCTTTAGCAGCAATGGTATCGATCACGAACATGGTGGGTTCAGATAAAGAAATGCCATTCTGGTGATATCTATGGCCAACAGCAAGAATGACTTGTGTCTTGAACATTGTAAAATATTCCAAAGTCCTTCACAGGAACATTACCAAACAACAGGACATCATCCAACAAAATTTGATGTCAAGATACCTGAAGGCAATAATTACTGGAAGTACTCAACAAGTTCAGAGTTAATATTTCAGGTCAAGTTGACAGACTGAGGAAAGATAGAAGTGAGGTTTATTTTTAAAAATTAATCTTTCACAACATATGAACATTGCTGGCTGCACCAGCATTTATTACCCATCCCAAATTGCCCTTGAGGATGGGTGCTGACCATCTTCTTAAACTGCTGAAGTTCATGTGATGTCGGTATACCTACAGTGCTGTTAGGAAGTGACCCAGCGACAGTGAAGGAATGGAGATATAGTTCCTTGTCAGAATGGTAGCTGGCTTGGAGGGGAACATTTTATCTGGTGGCACAACTAAAGTTGGGAGAGTGCACTGTCATCCTTTAGTCCCATTAGTTCACTGAATACAACATATATTTAAGTGTTTTACCCAATTCCCAATGTGGCCAAAGATATAGTTTATCTACATATTAGTTTCAGAATATAAAAGAAAAATACACAGCAACCACATTTCTTTAATAAAGAACAGAATTATTGGTTTATTATAACAAGATATACTCAAAAACGCAAAGCTGATTAACAGTTTGAAATATAGAAATGGAAATATTAACTCTTCTAACTAATCTAACACACACGTACACGTATGTACTGGGTTTAAAAAAAACTTTCTCTGCACAATTTTATAACAATATTTTGGCCAAATAATTGTTAATTCTTGAAGGAAAAGGATAAGATAAATTATGCCTTTTGTTCTGGTGTCTTGGTACACAAAAATGGTGGCACCAGACATGTGCAGTTGTTGCTGGTATGATTTCAGAAGCAGTGTGTATGTCAAGCAGGTATCTTCCAAATGTTTGCTTCATCAGAATTTTCAGTTCTCACACCGGGCTCTCAAAAGGGTTTCTTAAAACATGCGAAAAGAACAGGGAAGTGCCCTATTAGCAGGCTACACCCCAATTGACCTTTCCAAACAATGTCCAAAAAAACTCCTCCAAAACTCTAAATGGTCATTAACTCCGACATGTCACTTCTCTGTAAACAAGTCTGTTCACATAACATAACTGTCTCATCCAGCAGTTGTTACTTTAAAAAGTAGAAAGTGTCATTCAAATAATCTTTTATTTAAAAAAAAAACAGAGGTCCAGACATCTCCTCAGTTTTTCAAGTTAATAGAGGAATATGGGAAGTCTGCTAGCAGGGAGCCAGAATAGGTCATCTTGATTTCACACGGGCATAGATGAATGTTTCAGTGACAGATAACTATTAATTTTAAATCTAGGAAAGGTATTAATGGTCATGAGATTCAGACGAGTAGACGGAGCTAAGTTACAGATCAGCCATAGTCTCATTGAATGGTAAAACAAGCTTCAGAGTCTACTTGACCTCCTCCTGTTCCATGTGCTTTTTTTAGGTCGAACCTGCATGGCTCCAGTTTTCCCAATTTCAGTTTGAGATGTTGCTGTTCAATCATTACCAGATATCGCTGTATGACAAATCAGAGACAGTGGAGGCATTGAGAAAAGTTTCAGAAGATAGCATAACCTCTACAAGCACTTTAAATTTGTCTAAGTAGCCAAATGGCGCAATGAAAATTGCAGTAAAATGACTCCCAAACATTTACAGCATATTAGCCTATTGCAGATGAGAATCCTTTTAAATCAATTTAGAACTAGCAAGTCCTAACTTGCTTGTTAGGAGGTTGAGGAAGTGGCAGTGGCAATGCTGATTAAACTAAAGATTCCTCTAGGGAATATGGCAGTCACCCTGAGATAACACACAAGGACATAATTCAATGTATCAACTGAAGGATTCGACCACTAACAAGCACCCCCTTAGTAATGTAGTGTAGAGACAGCCCTAAACAATATGCTCAAGCCTCTAGTGTTCAAACTCACCTTTTTTTCAGAATCATAGGTGAAAGTGTTACCACAGAGCCCAGGCTAATGCACAATGGTGACCTTAATCCATACGGCACTAACAGCATTGACAGAGAGAAAGGTGTCTCAACTGAGTGATCTGATGAAAGGATCAAATCTTTAAAGAATTTGAAACATAGTCATTAATCAGTGTCGTCATTAATCAGTGCCTGCCAACCTAACCTCATGCTCTCTCCCTGGCATCTCTGGACATGGCATCTGTGTACCCTTCTTCTTTTCCAGAAATTGTTGTGGAAATCCAGGACAGACCTGTGTCACATAAATGGCAGTTACTCAGTTGGTGTATTCTTAGGATGGATCTCACAAGTTGCTATCAAAACTCTAGTCAGGCATGGCATTGTATGGTGTCTTTATGGCCAGATGCATACACAGCACCTAGAGAGAGAGCGTGAACAAGACAGAAGGGAAGAAAGAATTTGCGTCTTGATGAATGCAATTCTTTGCAAGGGTTACTTTCCTCAGTAAGAGCTGGATTCCAGTACCATCCTATTAAGGGCTTAAATGGCAATAATAGAAATAGCTAATGCCAAGCTCAAAAGAGTCTAAGCTCTCGAAGCATTTAAAAGTAGATTTAGAATTACCAAAATTGGGGATTTGTTTGAAAACTGTTGCATACCTTTCGTGGTACCCCAGTCAGATGTGGCAACTGGCCATCCTCCAATTTCATCCAACAGATTTAAGAGTGGCTCAGAGTCCCTTTCCTCAATTAAACCTGTGATAAAAATGAAAAGGAAGACTTGCATTTATATATCACCTTTTACAACTACAGGCTGTTTAAAGCAGTTAAAAGCCAATTAAGCACTTTTCATAGAATTATAGAATCTCCACAGTATGGAAGCAGGCCATTTGGCTCAATTAACCATTGAAGCAGTTAATATTATAATGTCTGAACTTACTCAGAAACAAGTAAAAAAAGGCTGACTGTTTCTTTCAATCACAATTTCCCCCTTTCAGATTAATATTAAAGAATTGAGACTTCCACTCTCAATTTATGCCAAAGGGAACATAAAATTCGTGAACTAACCTTAAAAAAAAAGCAATCTCTTTTAAGAGGCATAATCACTATATTGTTTCTATAGTTTATTTCCACGTGATGCTGGTGGGTGTTGAAGTTTGAAGTTCCCACAAATTAACCTTTGTGCAGAAAAGGTCCCAGTGATTTCTGGTGAATCCATAGTATTGTTGTTTTGGGAGTCCCATTGCAATGTAACTGCGATAAAACATCAGTAACAAGTCCAATGTTTCATTGAAGCCAATAACTTTTGTATTTGCAGATGTATTCAGCAAAACAAGAGATGCTTGTTTTCTACCACATTTTTTAATCTGTCTTGTAACTCCTTCAAACTTAGAGAGAGGATTCCAAAGCTCCTAACATTGCTTCAGCAATGAGACACTTTTCCCACCTTCTTTGTTTTAATATCCTTTATTTGGGAATGTTATTTGCCCCAGATTCTTTTACTCTTCTAAACAGACCTACTGAGGTCGTACTCACCTGGGATAAAATTCTGCTTTGGTGAGGGCACAAAATTGAATGGTATGAAATTGGTGACGCGTTACACACGCCATCAGAGTTTACCTTTACGGGGTATGTAGTGGCAGGGTGATGAGTTGGGGCATTTGTTTAGCACCTATAATGAGGGAGTCATGTTTGACTGCAAAGACCTTTTCAACACTGATCCACAGCAGGCTTGCAGAGTCAATTGTTTTCCTACACCAACCAATTTTCAGCTCTGCCCCCATGCCTTTGACCTTAATCTTCAAACCATAAACTCAAACACAAGCTTAACTTAAACTTCTGTCCTCATCACAGCAAAGTACTGCAAGACAGCTTAAAGAAAGGAGAGGTCTGTTGGCAAGATTATATACAAAGCAGGAATGGGAATACAATTCAAGCAGAAGGTAAATGAGGGGCTGGAAATATAACTTTTGAAGAGGGATGGGAATTAGTGATATGGGGGTTTCTATTCTGCAACCAATGTTAGAATCTGGAGATGTGCAGGCTAAATGTTCTGACAAGGATGAACTGCAGGAAGAGAAAGGGGTGCACAGTAGTTAGCACAGCTGCCTCACAGCGCCAGGGACCCAGGTTCGATTCCAGCCTCGGGCGACTGTCTGTGTAGAGTTGCTCATTCTTCCCGCGTCTGCGTGGGTTTCCTCTGGGTGCTCTGGTTTCCTCCCACAGTCGAAAGATGTGCAGGGTAGGTGGATTGGCCATGTTAAATTGCCCATAGTGCCCAGGGATGTTTAAGTTATGTGTGTTAGACATGGGAAATGCAGGGTTAGGGGAATGGGTCTGGGTGGGATGCTCTCTGGTGGGGCGATGTGGGCCGAACGGCCTGTTTCCACACTGTAGGGATTCTATGAAGCAGAAAATGGAGACACAGAGCTGAAGCAGGCTGCAGAGATGTTGGGGCCAAGGTAGTGGTGGAATCTTTTAACCAAGTTGGGGATTTAGAAATCAAAGGGTGGAGATCGAACCAATGAAGATCAAGGACAGCTCCATCTAGTAACATTAAAAAGTCATCAAAAAAGCATGATCTTCCCTTGGCTTTATAAACAGAGGTGTGGAGTTAAAGAAAGAGAGCTATGATATCTCTTTATAAAATCCTGGTTTGATCCCAATTTTAGCAATAAAATTATTCTTTCCCAGATGTGGCATTCTTTGCCAATCTCTAATTGCCCTTTGGGTAGGTGTCGGTGAGTGAAATGGCTGTGACCTATAGTGCTGCAGTATGACCCAGCTTGCTTAGCTCACCATTTTCAGCAGGAGCTACCAGCTCTCAAACTAGCAGCAAGAAATTTACTTGATCCCACCCTCCAGTTTTACCATTGCCCATATCTGATCAATCTTCATGACTCTCTGTTACCTCTGCTGAACTCAGACAGTGGAGATTTGACCTTCCACATCTGTGTGCTTAGTTCCACATGAGACAGTGCATTTATTCATTGAGCCACTGGAGTAAGTCTAGACACGCATATACTTTTAAGCAAAGAAATGATTTTAAGTTCAACTCACTGCCATTTATGCAGGATTTATACAGCTGTTTAGCTTTCCTAAAAGCTTCACGGTTTCCATCAACTGGCATTTCTAAAACACCTAAAAGCACAGAGAGGAAGAATAACAGCTGAGTTAAATATGACTGTTTTAATTGAAGGATCAAAGTGACCTTTAAAAGCATCAGGTCTCTCTTCTGGATCTACATCTGTGTATCTCACAAATGGATACCAATTACCAAATAAAACCATTCCTGTTTTGTGCTCCTGACATTTATGGGTAAACTTTCTGTAGACTTTTCCATGGAGTGTAATCATTGGATCTCTCCTTTCATATCAATTGCCGCACAAACCAGAATAAGGCCATGTCAAGAATATTGTGGAAATAATTGCCAAGTACATCCACGTACAGAGTCCATTGGGAATGTGTTTTGCACAAGAGAAAATCGTTTATGTAGAATGGAACAATTTTGCAGTTACTGTTTACCTTATCAGCCCAAAATGACAGAAGCAAAATACTACAGAGGCTGGAAAGCAGAAACATCACAGAGAATGCTGGAGAAACTCAGCAGGTCTGGCAGCATCTATGGAGAAAGAAAGCAAATGGAACCCTTTTTATTGCACTTTGTCTGATTTTGCTCAGCACTGAAGTCTGTAAAAAGATGGATATAAAAATGACTGTTAATCAGAACTTGCGAGTCCTTCACTGGTCAGGTTGTATTAAAACAACTTTCTTCAGGTGCACATTCTCTGCTTGCCAATTATTTTTTTCAAGTGCAATACAGCATCTGATCAACATTTCTATTACATTTGAAGGAGTTTAAGTCACGTATTTGTAACGTCCAGCAACACAATGTCCCGGTATTTTTGTTTACTTTTATCTAAAAGGTGACATATCCTTTTGAGTACCATCCTGATTAGTGTTGGACTTTTACCTTTCAGAATGATTTCCAGTTCATCACTTAGAATATCAATTATACTGTATCTAGAGCTGGTCTCTGGTATAATATGCCGATTCAGCCACCCCCCACAGGCATATCTGTAAAAGTCTTCACATGGTGAGGCAGATGGATCCATATTCTGGATTATCCTTGCAGCTGAATTGAAAGAAAGGCAAGAATCATATTTTTTTTTTCCAGTTCTCTGGGACTGTGTCATCCATTAGCTATTTGTGCTTCTATGTGTATTTCAACATGATGAAAGATTTTGATACCAAATAGTGGGATAAATCAATTCCACTGGTCAGTGAGACATACACTAGACAGTATAACTTAAAATCTTCTTAAAACAGAATAAAGACAAAGATTAAGAAAAAAATATTTTCATGCAGGGGTTGTTAGGACATGTATTTCCTAGATAGAGTGTACTTAAAGAATTCATTTTAAAATTATCCTAAAGCTAAAATGACAACAGTCTTTCAAATCAGTACGACACACTGAGGCAGGACTACATGGGACTGTAAGGATGGCCGCACATGGCTCCCTGCTATTTACCAGATCCTGAGCTCTCCTTTGGGGAGCTGGCAAACTATGCTTTCAATGCATTACGATGGGCTGAATGGCTTCCTTTAAACGCTGGAAGAATCAAAGAAATGATGGTTATACTTAAGAATTATTATTTATCATTTATGTTTTCATCCCCTAACTAATCTTCATGAGAAAGGAGTATAGCTCATCAATTTATGCTTTGCATTTGCACCTACTTTCTGCTGAAATGAATGGTTGCAGGAAAATAGAACCCATAATTATTGTCTCCTATTCCACAATATAGTTCCATGAGCAATTAGCAGTATATAGCGCATTTGATAGGATTTACAGATCAAGTGCAAGTGATATTGCTTATTCCTCTATGTCTTAATTGTCTTAATTTAATGGAAAATTCCAAACCTTACTCACCCGCAGCCACACAGCCCGATGTCATGCACACATTGTCCAAATTGCTGGAGAACTGTTTGTCTGAGGACCGAGAATAGAATACGGCTTCAGTCAGAAAACCCCCACCAATTTAGCTTCACCAAGGTGCAAAAGGTTATCAAGAAGGCTGCAATAAATAATCCCCCCCCACCCCCAGCCTTGGTACCATATCAGTCCCCTCTGAGAGAAAGGAGAACCTTTCAGGGAGAACCTTTCAGGGAGAACATAGGGACTCTTAAACAGCATCATTAAAATGGATTATCTGGTTATTCATCTCATCACTACTTGTGTGGTCTTGCTGCGCAAAAAGTGGCCGTCAGGTGTGCTTAATTTGCAAAAGTGACTTGACTGCAAACATATTTCATAGCCTATGAAGCAAATTAATTTGAGATGTCCTGAAGATGTGAAACGTGCTTTATGAATGCAATTTCTTTCTTCCTCTTAATTTTAGCAATAGTATGTTTCTCATTCCTTCCCTGAACTTCCCTTTGTATTCCTTCCGAGCTTCAAACACACCATTCTACATATTTTTCATTTCACCCATTCTTATTTATATTAAAATCAAGAAATGTTGCATCATCTCCTGCTCCAGCTCATTTTTTTAATTTTGCTAGAATTCAAAGCTGTCAAACACCTTACCTTCCATAATATGTGCTAGGCTTCGAAAACTCTGGAAGAGCTCACTTTAACCTAAACCTAACAGGAAAATAGCCCAATTGACCCCCTGTTTTAAACTGGGCTGACTTTAAATTCCATGTATGCCAATCGTGAATAAAACTGAGCCATTAAACATTATTTCAGTTTGGTCTTAACCCACTTCAGTCACATATATTTCACAATCTTTCCTAATCTTCTCAACTTTGGTGTTGTTCTGTATTTATGAACGTTAAACTGTCAACTTGACTTTACAATGAGAAATGCTCTCATGGACGTGTCATTAAAAGTTATTCATAGTCGTGGGAGAGAGGGATGGTGAAGGTACTATTTTTTTAAAATTGCATGTAGGTTGTGTGTTAAAACAGACTGAAGCAAAACATAATTGTTTGCAAAATAGCCTTCTGTGCTGACTTGCTTAGCTGCATAGGGAATTTAGAAATGCATTTGGTAAAATTGTTTTCATTCTGTGGGCAAACAGTCCACAGAGTTGAGTATAAACAGTACTTCATCCAACACATTAACAGAATTTGAGTGCAGGAAAAATTGATAAACACCTTCACAACTCTGAGCAACATCCAAGGATTTTCACATCCAATTTGCTTTGTGAAGCATGCTCTGGCTTGTTATACAAATAAATGGAACAATCAATTTTAATGTGGCAAGAACTAACAACCAGCAAATGAGCAGCTAGTTATGACAATATTTCTTTGAGGGACAAGTACAGCCCAGCATCCCACAGAACTTCTTGCTCTTCTTGGAACAGTACCATAGATTTTTTTTTTATTTTCAGTTGAACTACCATAAACATATGGGACCCTGAATTAATCTATCATCTCAGGAACATTACCTCTGGCAACACTTTCTCAGTACTGCACTGACATATATCAGGATGAGTTGAATGCACAAGATATTAAGAACAAGAAAGACTTCAGCTGTTAGAAGTCTGCTATTTTTAATCAGATTTACAGACACCACTCTCCAGATGTTGTATGCAACTAATAGAGTTTTACATTCAGAATCTACAGTGCATCTTTCATTAAATTGCTGCAGAAAGCAATAATAATCTAAAGGATTCTCCACAAACATTTTTAAATGTACTGCAAACCCTCTGGAAATGAGGAGGCTAAATTATTTCATTGCATAACTCAATCCAAAGCTAATAGAACAAATCATAATTGAAAAACAGAATATTCAAAAAGATTAATAAAATTGCATTTATAAAAGCTCCAATGTTATGCTAAGCAACTATGTGCATTAGAGATAAAATTCCAAATGTAATATTTCTTTTATACTCTATTTTTACAGTACTGATAAGGTGTGAATCCTCTCTTCCACACATCTTGGCCTTAGGAACTTCAACATGTCACTTATGTTTCCTTAGCACGAAGCTGAATTTGTTTTGGTGCTTATGTCTTGAGGGTTAGCTAAGGTTAATTGTTGGCAAGTCGTACTGTAGACATCATTTATAAAGATATTTTCGTGCCTTAGTAAGGATGCATTATTGGTGATGTCATCTGAGCAGCCCGCAATTTGGAATGGAATTGGCCAATCATATGTACCAAATCATAAAGCTGTAACATTTTTTTTGGCCACAGTAGACATGCAAGTCAATGGAGACCATAGCTGCAATTTATTTAATGCAAAGATGCAAAACATTGTTGGAGGAAATTTTCAACTTATGGATCAATTATAAAAGTGGAGTTGTGGATCATTACAGAAACTACAATACCATTATTTTCACAGATTTCCCATATTCAAGTTAAAAATCTGCTCCATAGTTTCATTGTGTTTGACACATAGAAAAGATTTACCGAACACTTACAGTGTGAGTATGTGATATTCAATTTATGTCAGTTTAACCGAGTTTCCATCAGCAGATAAAATGATCTCTACCTTGCTATTTCATTTAGTTGAACTTACTCTTGCAAGATTTTTAATAATGACTTCTGTGTTTAATTTCACTGAAAATTCTTCACTCCATTGTAGATAGAAGTGCTGACTTTTCACTCGTAGTCAGTTTTTGATAACTTGTCTGTATACAATGATTATTGTTGCTGTTTTATCTGTTAAAATAAGCGGTGATTGCCCTTGTGTGGCAATAAAGTGTGGTCTGGGTTCATTACCTTTCCTCTTCTACAAATGGTAACGTTTCAATTTTTCCTCCTTTCTACTGTACTCATTACCCCTTTTTGGCATATTAACTGATAGCCTTCTAACTCTCACACCTTTATGCTTGTACATTTGATTACTCAACTCTGCACTCACTTGCCTACTCATTTTTATACTTCCTCAGTGGAGACCTTGCTCTTTATATATGCTTATTCTCATGCAAACTTGAGCAGGTATTCATTTGAGCCTGTTCTCTCGCGTATGTATTTCCTCACTCATATGTGGTGATGTGGTGACATTCTCCCCTTCATTCATCCAATCACCAACACAGAGGCTCCAATAAACAAATGCTCCAATAAGTAAATACTTCTACATTTTGCAAAGTTGCAAGTAAAATTGATAGGAATATGATCTTGATGAAAGAGTAATTTTTTATCTAATTGACCAATTATTCTGCTTAATCTCCGATAACTATTCATTTTAATTAATTTTTGATCTGAGAACTCACTTCCGGACACCCCAAATGTAGCTCACCATCGAAAAGACACAAGTCAGGAGCGTGATATAATACTCCCCATTTTCTCAAATGAGTGCAGCTCCAATGACACTCAAAAACAGTATACAATATAGTGCTTAGTCAATAGTGCTTGTAGTCTTATGCTGCAATAAAAGTTCTAAAACATTAAATCTTGTCATGTCATCCTTCCAGCTGTTTTAATGAGGAATTCAAATTTATTTTTAAACATTATTGGTGTTTATGAAGTTTTTTTTAATTCATTTGTGGGATGTGGGTGTCGCTGGGTGGCCAGCATTTCTTGCCCATCCCTAGTTGCCCTTGAGAAGGTGGTGGTGAGCTGCCTTCTTGAACCGCTGCAGTACACCAGCTGTGGGTTGACCCACAACGCTATTATTGTAACACTTAACATATTGTTAAAATCTCAGAACAAGGCTTTTCACTGATATTTCTCATTCCATCAAGAATATAGAATGTCAAGTTTCTATTCCTTAGTTTCTATTTCCAGGACACAAATTGTGAGGACGTGTACTTGTACTTACAGTAATTAAAACTTTATGTGGTTGTCATGGTGATCCGAAAAACATATTTCTGCTCCCCCCACCAGTACCTCCACTTACCCCAGTTCTTTAAGGTACTATTCCTTTGGCCTTACTCTACTTCATATTGGCACTCTCCAGTCCATCCCCCATGCCAATCACACAGCCCTGTTCTCCACTGCCTGCTTTTTTCCCACCAGATCACATTTGTGCCTGTTCTTTCTCCGACTTCTAAGTCATATTAGCAATAGATTTTGAGAGGTCAGAAATTCCTCTTTACATCTGAATCTTAATCTCTTAGAAGAGCTCTGGAGAATCAGGTACAAATGAGAGAGGTGCATATGCTGTCTGCAAACTGCAAACCAGTTATGTAGATATTAAACCCAAATATCTGCCTGACCCAAACTTCACAAATAAATACTCAGGAGGGAAAATAGATGAAACATACTCCACTGCTCAAAACAGACATTGTCACCAAACAGCAAGAACAATTATAACTTCCTCAACATGATCAAATTCAGAATATTCTGCCTATTGCTTTGTCAATTATAAGTGAGATGATGATGTGTTTATGATACATTGAACTGCATGTGTTTCCTTACAATTTTCTTCCCCTCTCTTCTGAATTATATCAGAATGTGGAGTCACTGGCATTGGGATCCCCCACTACTTTGTTTAAATAGCCATGTTTTATCTATTCATTCAGACTGTCAACAATACTAACACATTTGAATATTGAGGGTGAATGTCATCCTTACCCAATCTCCACATATCAAACTTTCCAGCACCAATTCTAGCTGACATACACATAGGAACAGGAGTAGGACACTTAGTCCATTGAATCTGTTCCGGCATGGCAGATCTGTTCCTCAATTTCATTTACAACCTTGGATCCATATTCTTACCCGACCAAACAAAATAAAGCCTTGATTTCATTCTTGGCCAACCACACCCTCTTTCTTAACTGCAGATACACCGCTTTCAACACAGTTAACTGCGCCCAAGTGACAATGAGAAGAAGTCAAACTTACCACAATCCGGGTCTATTTAACTCAGCACCAACACAAATGCCTAATCAAAAAAAAAAGCCACAGCCTGGAGAACGATCATGTCCCTTTTAAGACAGATGATTACAAACAATCAATGATAATCTAGCCTCCAGAGTCTGGAATTATTCATGTATTTAGGGGGATAATTATTTCTTCCTTGCTCATTTGAAAGGGGGACTTGCAAACTATTTGCAAGCTATGTGTTTGAGGCCTTCCCACTGCAATTCTATTGGAATGAATTTCACACTTTATTAAATATCTCTCTACTTCTTAAATTTATTGCGGCAACACATAGCCCCGGAAAATGTAGGGATCAGGAATTACTATTTAAAAACAGGTAACTATGCTACAAATTACTGAGGTAAATAGACACTAATTTAAATTTTCCCTGTGGCTTGCAGGAAAAATGTTATTCTTCAGAGTATGAAAAAAAAACAGATGAATGCAAATGTAGGATTTACTTGAAGACATTTTAAACAAGTACCCCTTTAGATATCATGTTGCTATGTATGAAAATCCCAGCAGAAAGAAAAGTCTGTCAATTGCTCTTCTGCAATGGCGACATTTCCCCTGAGACAATGTGGGAGTGAGTGCCCTATTAGCCAGGTTCTCTTTCTGCCTTTTGCATAAAAATTGCAGTTCTATAGTAAAATTATACCTGATTATTAGTTACAAGTATTTGTTCTCCTGAAAGTGTTTCATATTTGTGACTGAGCTCAGGATACTTTGTATTTGAGAAACAAATGGAAAGAAGTAGCACAATATATAGATACTGTTGCAATATAAATTATACCTGTCTGTACAAAGTCATGCATGATATAAAGCTTGCACCTTAAGGAACATACCCTTATACAGTGCTATTAAATTAATTGTAAAATCTTGTGGTGAAATTTCACCTTAAGCTGCAGTGTTCCAAATGAGATAAACTAAATACATTTTTATTTATTCTTGGAATACGGGCATCACTGGCTGGGCCAGCATTTATTACCGAATATTAACTGCTGTGGAGAAGGTGGTGGTGAGCTGATCTTGAACCGCTGCAGTCCACCTGCTGTGGGTTGATCCACAATGCCATTAGGGAGGGAATTCCAGGATTCTAATCCAACGACAGTGAAGGAACAGCGATATATTTCCAAGTCAGGATGGTGTGTGGCTTGGAGGCGAACTTGCAGATGGTGATATTCCCATGTATCTGGTGCTTTTGTCCTTCTCGGTGGTAGCTTTCATGGGATTAGAAGATGCTGTCTTAGGACTCTTGGTGAATTTCTGCAGTGCATCCTAGAGATGTCCACACATATTTTTTTGATTGCTATTGTGTTGCCACAGTGTGTTTTAAGTACTAGTATGCTCTGCTATGGAGTCTTAGGGTATCGGGTTGGATTAAACACTTACCCCAAGTTCATTACATTCTTTTTAAACACAGATGCAGACTAATGACTGGAAGATTTACCTGGGGCAATCTCATACTCCTTTTAACTCAATGCCTCAGAATTACATCAATGAAAATGCTTTGGGAAAGTCAGAGGTGGGAAGATTTAACTCTTCAATGACATCAAGTCAGAAAGTTAATATTTCCTATAAGAAAAATACAATTGCTGCTATAGACTAGTCCTTAGCATTTGAAATGCTTTTTCACTAAAAATTTGAATTAAACCTAGTCATAACATAGCTATTTGGAAATTTATGGTTAAAATGTTCATTTGTAAGATAAATTGAATTAATCAAATTTGAATTCAGATTGAATGATGTAAACTGAAGAGATTTATATCATTTGCATATCCCAAAAACAGATACTACTGCAATTACTGTACTGCTGTTATCAACAGCACCGTTACTAACATTTATACAAATATATATAATGTTAATATACTTTAAGCTAGAGACAAATACTTATTACTTGGAATCAGGGAGGAAGATTTTAACTTCATTCAAACTTCATCCAGCCTTCTGGGGAATATACTGACCTAACAGTCCTGACTTAAAGAAAGCTATTACTCTGTTTTTCACTTTTTCTTTTCTAAAAATATAACTAGATGATAATTAACATGACTAAAATAAACAGCGATACAAATAAGATGACTAACACTTTAATTTGCACTTACACCCTTACTATCACTACTGTTATGACTTGCAATATCAAATTTCACTAGTGTGGCCAATGTCCCTAATGCCATACTGACATGACAAGTAACAGTACCACTAACACTTTTAAACAAAGATGTCTAACAGTTTCAGTAAAAGTGTCAAAATTAATTATAGTTGTTTTGTCAAAAATAGCACCTTAAATGTCCAACATAATTTATAATGAGCAATGGCAAAATGCCATGAATGGGATGTTTTTATCTGCCCATGGAAAATCTAGATTTGAAAATAAGAATTTCAGCTATATGCAAGAAGCTATCTCGGAGGTCCATCTTTATGGGTGTAATGACAGAATCAAATTATACTCTCAGTTCTCTTGGAGCTTTCAACCTAGTGACAACAGAACAAAAGCTTCAAAATGATGGCACACAATTGCAGCAGTGCCCAGGATGCACTGTAAATATTCACTAAAACCTCCTAGACAATACCTTTCAAACCCACAACCACTACTGTCGAGAAGGACAAGGGTAGCAGATACATGGGTACACTACCACCTGCAGGTTTCCTGCCAAGCTACTTACCATCCTGTCTTGGAAATATATCACAGTGTCACTCGGTCTACTTACAGCACATGGACTGCAGTGGTTCAAGAAGAGAGCTCACCATTACCTTCTCAAGGGTGACTAGGGATGGCAATAAATGTTGGCCAAGCCATTGATGCCCACATTCAATGAACAAATTTTAAAAAATCTGTTGGATTCCAATGTTATGAATCCTATAACTTTGCACCAGATTGCAGTTTACTTCAAGCAGCCTAAAAGCCTGATTCTATGGCTATCTCCTAGTCCTTGGTGCAGGCTACATTTAGGTCTCCGTTCTGACCGCAGATTCTCTGTTTTTGCATTGATGCACAGAAATTATGAAGGTCTAGAAGCAGTGATGCAATAACCCTTGGAATAGTTTGGCCATGGAGATCATTCCAGGGTAACCTAGTCAGGGCTTCTGCTTTTACCCATTTTCTCCCCTGTCTTGTCAACGGTAAGTTAAAATGGATTATGGTTCCACAGGTTCCTCTGGTACCCCCAGTACCTTACCCATGTTATTTCCTCACATAAGAAAAAAGAAAATAAAGACTTGTATTTATATAGTACCTTTCACAACCTCAAAATAACCTAAAGCATTGCACAGGCAGTTGCCTAGAACTTTCCAGGAGCTGCACAAAGCTATCCAGTGGCACAATTGGTGATGGCGCAGTACCTTTTACCAGCCATGATCACATGGTAGAAAAGACCTGATGGGATGAATGGCCTAATTCTTATGGTCTAGGTGCTTCTAAAATGTAGGAACTGTGGTAATGTACGGAACTAAAGCAGCCAATTTGCAAATGACAAGTGTTCAGACATAATAACCTGATAATGACCAGGATGTCTATCCTGCTCTTTGAAATAGTGCAATGGGATCTTTTTGCATCCTGCAAAGACAGCAGGTGGGACCACAAATTGATGTGTCAGAAAGACAGCACCTCAGACAGTACAAACCCATCTCAGTACTACTTTGAAGCATCAGCTGATATTTTTCTGCTCAAAATTACTGGATTCAAACTGGGACACACAGCCTTTTAAATCAGACGCAAAAATGATACTTACTGAGCCACAGGGGAGTATGGGGGACATCACAGTCTTGGCCAATGGATATTGCATACATACACACTTTAGGGCAAGGGCCATTTACACCATTGATGTTCTGCTCACTAGTCTTGTTGCTAATCTGTAGTGCCCATCCAATTACAGTCAATCCTGAAATATGACTCAAGGTTTGTCCCATACCAACACATTCTTAACTGCCCTTTGAAGTGATCTGGTGAACCATTTGCTTACATCAACAAGGAACTTTTACAGATGCACCATAGAAAACATTCTATCTGGATGCATCATGGCTTGGTAAAGCAACTACTCTGCCCAGGACCGTAACAAACTGCAGAGAGTTGTGAACACAGACCAGTCCATCACGCAAACCAACCTTCTATCTATTGACTCCACCTACACTTCTCACTGCCTTGGAAAGACAGTCAACATCATTCAAGATCCCTCCTACCCTAGTTATACTCTCTTCCAGAAGGCAGAAGATACAAAAGCTTAAACACGCATACCGACAGGTTCAAGAACACCTTCTTCCCCGCTGTTATTATACTTCTGAATGGACCTCTCAAATTTCAAATAAAATGTGGATCTTGCATTTTGTGCACCTTCTTTACAGCCATACCTTTGTATCCCTCGCTCTGTTCAATCACCCTATGATCTTTGTATGGTATGATCTGCCTTCACTGCATGCAAAACAAAACTTTTCACTATATCTAGGTACATGTGACAATAATAAATCAAATCAAAGAAAGTTGCAGCAGTTCAAGACAACGGTGTACCATCACATTCAGAGAAACTACAGATGGACAATTACCAAGCTTGCCCTCTCCTTAAGGCATGGCTCAGCTACAAGGCTGAGCTATCAAGGGTAGCCATCTGTGAGCAGGGGCGTGCCCCATGGGTCACCTTACCTCCCTGGCTCGTGTACAACACAACCAGCGCCACCACTGCACATGTCATGAGAAGGAGCAGCACGGTTAGTGCAATCTCAACGAAACTCCAACTTTTCTTGGCTGATTTTGTCGATTTCTCCACGATGTCCATCTGGCTTTCGGATTTGCCCATTATAGTGACTCTGTTTGAGAAAAGATAGCGAGTGCCGTTAGTCAAACGCGCCGATTGTGAGTGAACAAAGTGAAAAAAGCCAGGCGAACGAAAATAAAGCACTTTACATCTGCACTTTCGCCTGATCTTCCATCTCCTCTTCCTTTAGGGATGTCCAAAGGATAAATAACCCCCTCCCCAATTTCTTATCGACGGGGTGGGCTCTTCCTTAAATGGATTGATTCGCGGAAACGCGGGGAGTGGGCTGATTGCAAGCGGGTCTGTAATGTTGGGTTCTCTTACAAACCGGGAACTGTGAAATATGAGCAGCTAACTTTGCCGGGGGAGTCACAGAGCGGTGGATATTGATGAGCCGACTGACGGAAAATCCCGCAAAGGATTCCTTCCAGTCATCATTCCTGCAAAGAGAGAGAGAGAGAGAGAAGGGGAGGGCGGGGGCTTGGAGTGGATTCACCGTGCAGCCTTGGCTTGATGGGACCTGAGTTTATCAAAACCCGGCCACCAGGTAACAGCACGGAGGCGCGAGTTATACAATAAATAAAACAACATACAAATATAAAACCATCTCCAGCCCCGAGCCCAGGCATTCCCCCACTGGTCAATTTCAGTCCCGTTTCATTCATTCAGTTTCCTGAAGCTGCACTAGGGCCAGTGCCGTGTGTGTGCTCGCAGGGAGATCACTGCAATGCAGTTTTAGTAACTTTTAATAGGGCGAATGAGCAAGCAATCCAGTGCTCCATCAGGGGCTGTCAAGCAGTATTTTAGAAACAGGAGAAAAGGCAGGGCTAGTTGAGCTTTCACGAGAAGGTTCCTTGAGTTTAACAGCGAAATCTTGAACCCTGTCTGTGGAAATGGGAACTGTGTAAACTCCTGTGGTGAGGTCTCTTCTGGAACTCTGTGTCCAGTTCTGGTCACCCAGTTAAAGGAAGGATATTATCAAGCTGGAGAAGGTACAGAAAAGATTTACCAGGATGTTGCCAGGGATGGAAGGTTGGAGTTATAAGGAAAGACTGGATAAGCTTGAACTTTCACTGGAGCAAAGGAGGTTGAGAGGTGACCTGATAAAAGTTTATAAAAGAATGAGAGGTATAGATAAAGTTGATGGTAGTTGTCTTTTCCCTAAAATAGTGAATTTCAAGACTGGGGGAGCATTTTTAAGGTGAGAGGAAAGAGATCTAAAAAAAGTCATGAGGCAATTTTTTTTAAAAAAAAGGGTGGTTTGCATATGGAATGAACTTCCTGAAGAAGTGGTGCGTGCGGGTGTCATTATAATGTTTAAAATACATTTGGACGGATATATGAATAGGAAAGGTTTGGTGGGATATGGGCCAGGAGCAGGCAGGTGGGACTAGTTGAGTTTGGGATTATGTTCGGCATGGACTGGTTGGACTGAAGGCTCCTTTTCCATGCTGTATGGCTCTGTTCCTCTATGAAAGAGTTTGCATTTCTGCAGCAATTTCTCCATAAGAAAAGGTGACATTTCAGCTACATTTTGAAACATCTCAGTTGAGAACCAAAAGCCTGCAAATTATACACATATCAAAATAGTCAGAAACTGTGAACCAGGGTTAAAATATGTTTTTATTTTGGAGTGGTCATCTTGATCTCAATGATGTCAAATATTGGCTCCTACTTAGTGAGGTATTCCTTTGCCTGGTTGAAAATTGTTCTGTCCACTTTGCAGCCTTCCACTAACGCTGCAGGTTCCTTCTCAGCAGCCTTCCTCCCTCTCCTGCTTATGGCAGGCCTCCTGCAGCATCCTTCTCCTGCCTCCCCTTGCCTCTCTCACAGCCTCCTTTTCCTTCCTTGAGGCTGCTCTTGCCCTCTTTGTAGCGACCCTCCACCTAATTGCAGCCTCTCTTCCCCTCCCCTCACAGCCCCGTCTCTCACTCTTGCAGCCTTCCTTCTGCCCCTTGCAGTTTCCCTCTCACCCCATTGCAGATTCCTTCCCCGCTGTGATGCATCCCTGTTCCCCTCCTATTCCCCCTTTCCTTCTCCTCAATGCAGCCTTCCCCACTTCCATCCATCTCCCCTCTCCTCCGTAAGCCTTGAAACATCCTGCTCCACTTCATATATCCTCCATGGCTTGGCAACTGAGTCTTCTCCTTCCCCAGAAACAGCCTCTTACCAGTACAACTCACTTTCTCACTGCTCCTCCAATCACAGGCTCTTTCACATTTGCTGCTAATAGGCTCACTTGTGAACCATTGAGCAGTAAGCATGGGAGAGAATCAGCCAGTGATTGGTAGAACAGCTCCTCAGCGATTCTAACTGTTCCATAAATTGAGTCAACTTTTCTGGCATTTGAAAGGGATTCTCTTGAATGAAATTGACCACTACCTCCCCATGTATTTTGAGTGTCACTTTCATATTTCCTGACTTACTGTTTGGCTAAATTTGCCAGTCTTGACTTTTAACCTGAAATTATGTGAATTTTGTGTTCACGTGTTACATTTCAGGACTTATATTGACCATTTACTGCTTTTACCCGAGTCTAGTTCTGAGCTAGTAGGAACTGCAGATGCTGGAGAATCCGAGACAACAAGGTGCAGGGCTGGATGAACACAGCAGGCCAAGCAGCATCATAGGAGCAGAGAGGCTGACGTTTCGGGCCTAGACCCTTCATCAGAAAAGGGGGAGGGGAAGGGGGTTTTGAAATAAATAGGGAGAGAGTGGGAGGCGGATAGAGGAGAGGATAGGTGGAGAGGAAACAAACAGGTCGAAGAGGCGGGGATGGAGCCAGTAAAGGTGAGTGTAGGTAGGGAGTTAGGAAGGGGATAGGTCAGTCCAGGGAAGACGGACAGGTCAAGGGGGCGGGATGAGGTTGGTCGGTAGGAGATGGAGGTGTGGCTTGAGGTGGGAGGAGGGGATAGGTGGGAGGAAGAACAGGTTAGGGAGGCAGGGACGAGCTGGACTGGTTTTGGGATGCGGTAGGGGGAGGGGAGATTTTGAAACTTGTGAAATCCACATTGATACCATTGGGCTGCAGGGTTCCCAAGCGGAATATGAGTTGCTGTTCCTGCAACCTTCGGGTGGCATCGTTGTGGCACTGCAGGAGGCCCAGGATGGACATGTCATCTGAGGAATGGGAGGGGGAGTTGAAATGGTTCGCGACTGGGAGGTGTAGTTGTTTATTGCGAACCGAGCGTAGGTGTTCTGCAAAGCGGTCCCTGAGTCTCCGCTTGGTTTCCCCGATGTAGAGGAAGCCACACCGGGTACAGCGGATGCAGTATACCACATTGGCAGATGTGCAGGTGAACATCTGCTTGATGTGGAAAGTCTTCTTGGGGCCTGGGATGGGGGTGAGGGAGGAGGTATGGGGGCAGGTGTAGCACTTCCTGCGGTTGCAGGGAAAAGTGCCGGGTGTGGTGGAGCTGGAGGGGAGTGTGGAGCGGACAAGGGAGTCACGGAGAGAGTTGTCCCTCCAGAAAGCAGATAAGGGTGGGGAGGGAAAGATGTCTTTGGTGGTGGGGTCGGATTGCAGATGGCGGAAGTGTCGGAGGATGATGCGTTGGATCCGGAGGTTGGTGGGGTGGTACGTGAGGACGAGGGGGATTCTTTTTTGGTTCTTATTGCGTGGACGGGGTGTGAGGGATGAGGTGCGGGAAATGTGGGAGACACGGTTGAGGGCGTTCTCGACCACCGAGGAGGGGAAGTTACGGTCCTTGAAAAACGAGGACAACTGAGATGTACGGGAGTGGAATGCCTCATCCTGGGAGCAGATGCGGCGGAGGCGAAGGAATTGGGAATAGGGGATAGCATTTTTGCAGGAAGGTGGGTGGGAGGAGGAGTATTCTAGGTAGCTGTGGGAGTCGGTGGGCTTGAAATGAATATCGGCACCCACTCCAACCTCTCCCCTGCAACATCAATCGCCTCAACCTCTCCACCCCTCTCACCCACTCCAACCTCTCCCCTGCAGAACGTGCAGCCCTCCGCTCCCTCCGCTCCAATCCCAACTTCACCATAAAACCCGCGGACAAGGGAGGCGCAGTTGTAGTATGGCGCACTGACCTCTACATCGCCGAGGCCGGACGCCAACTCTCCGACACCACTTCCTACCGCCCCCTTGATCATGACCCCACCCCTGAGCACCAAACCATCATCTCGCAAGCCATCCACAACCTCATCACCTCAGGTGACCTCCCACCCACGGCCTCCAACCTCATCGTTCCCCAACCTCGCACTGCCCGCTTCTATCTCCTTCCCAAAATCCACAAACCTGAATGCCCTGGTCGACCCATTGTCTCCGCCTGCTCCTGCCCCACCAAACTGATCTCCAACTATCTAGACTCCATTTTCTCCCCCTTGGTCCAGGAACTCCCTACCTATGTCCATGACACCACCCATGCCCTCCACCTCCTCCAGAACTTCCAATTCCCCGGTCCCCAACACCTCATCTTTACCATGGACGTCCAGTCCCTCTACACCTGCATTCCCCATGCAGATGGCCTTAAGGCCCTCCGCTTCTTCCTGTCCCGCAGGCCCGACCAGTCCCCCTCCACTGATACCCTCATCCGCTTAGCCGAACTCGTCCTCACACTCAACAACTTCTCTTTCAATTCCTCCCACTTCCTACAGACAAAGCGGGTAGCCATGGGTACCCGCATGGGCCCAAGCTACGCCTGCCTCTTTGTAGGTTACGTGGAACAATCCCTCTTCCGTACCTACACCGGCCCTAAACCCCACCTCTTCCTCCGTTACATTGATGACTGTATCGGCGCCGCCTCGTGCTCCCACGAGGAGCTCGAACAGTTCATACACTTCACTAACACCTTCCACCCCAACCTTAAATTTACCTGGACCATCTCTAACACCTCTCTCCCCTTCCTGGACCTCTCTGTCTCCATATCGGGCAACCACCTAGAAACCGATATTCATTTCAAGCCCACCGACTCCCACAGCTACCTAGAATACTCCTCCTCCCACCCACCTTCCTGCAAAAATGCTATCCCCTATTCCCAATTCCTTCGCCTCCGCCGCATCTGCTCCCAGGATGAGGCATTCCACTCCCGTACATCTCAGTTGTCCTCGTTTTTCAAGGACCGTAACTTCCCCTCCTCGGTGGTCGAGAACGCCCTCAACCGTGTCTCCCACATCTCCCGCACCTCATCCCTCACACCCCGTCCACGCAATAAGAACCAAAAAAGAATCCCCCTCGTCCTCACGTACCACCCCACCAACCTCCGGATGCAACGCATCATCCTCCGACACTTCCGCCATCTGCAATCCGACCCCACCACCAAAGACATCTTTCCCTCCCCACCCTTATCTGCTTTCCGGAGGGACAACTCTCTCCGTGACTCCCTTGTCCGCTCCACACTCCCCTCCAGCTCCACCACACCCGGCACTTTTCCCTGCAACCGCAGGAAGTGCTACACCTGCCCCCATACCTCCTCCCTCACCCCCATCCCAGGCCCCAAGAAGACTTTCCACATCAAGCAGATGTTCACCTGCACATCTGCCAATGTGGTATACTGCATCCGCTGTACCCGGTGTGGCTTCCTCTACATCGGGGAAACCAAGCGGAGACTCAGGGACCGCTTTGCAGAACACCTACGCTCGGTTCGCAATAAACAACTACACCTCCCAGTCGCGAACCATTTCAACTCCCCCTCCCATTCCTCAGATGACATGTCCATCCTGGGCCTCCTGCAGTGCCACAACGATGCCACCCGAAGGTTGCAGGAACAGCAACTCATATTCCGCTTGGGAACCCTGCAGCCCAATGGTATCAATGTGGATTTCACAAGTTTCAAAATCTCCCCTCCCCCTACCGCATCCCAAAACCAGTCCAGCTCGTCCCTGCCTCCCTAACCTGTTCTTCCTCCCACCTATCCCCTCCTCCCACCTCAAGCCACACCTCCATCTCCTACCGACCAACCTCATCCCGCCCCCTTGACCTGTCCGTCTTCCCTGGACTGACCTATCCCCTTCCTAACTCCCTACCTACACTCACCTTTACTGGCTCCATCCCCGCCTCTTCGACCTGTTTGTTTCCTCTCCACCTATCCTCTCCTCTATCCGCCTCCCACTCTCTCCCTATTTATTTCAAAACCCCCTTCCCCTCCCCCTTTTCTGATGAAGGGTCTAGGCCCGAAACATCAGCCTCTCTGCTCCTATGATGCTGCTTGGCCTGCTGTGTTCATCCAGCCCTGCACCTTGTTGTCTCTAGTTCTGAGCAATCGCTTTGACCTCTTTTTTAAAAACTCAAGAAAACCTGTCTGGCCAGTTCTCTACAACCAGCATGTAAAAAGTTAATTATACACAGTGGGTTGGCAAATTTGTCTTTTACATTTTAAACACACCTTTTATAATCAAACAAAGAGAATGAAAACTGGAAAGTTTTATTTTAGATCTCCACACCTGATCGTAGCAATGTAACTATTGCCGATAGCAGTTATTAGTCACGGGAAGGAGAACGACCTTGGTTGGTTTTTCTATTCTCTTGTCCTGAAACAAATTGAAACATCACTCTCATTTTGCCTGAGATCAATAACTGTATAGAGTTTAGGGGATCAAGTTTAGGGTCTTCCTCATAACTATGTTTAACTTAAGGACTTGCAATGCTGATAAATCATCAAAAATCATTGAAAGGAGTTAGGGGCTGAATGAGGGAGTAAGTGCTCTGGTTGCTGTATGTAGTAAACATTGTAAACATGTACTTTTTCAACACATTTAGGATGCTGGCACAAGGAGCAAATGGAGCAATTCTACACCCTTTGTTTTTATTTCCATAGAGAAAACTGCAGGCCAGGAAGGAAATATATGGCAGGCAGACAGGCGCAAACATTAAATGAGTTCTCGCAAGTGACCTGGGTCACCACTCTGCAGTTTTTTAGAGAAGAGCCGTAAAACAAAGATTGTTGAACCATTCCAGAAGCTAACATTTAACCTCGAAGTTTAATTATGCAGTTTATAGATACTTTTAATTAGCTTGTGACATAATGATTTATGGCCTGAGTAAACATAAAAAAACTACATCTGGAAAAGGAAAGGTCCCATTGTAGTTTTAAAAGTTTTTCAGTTATGTTTTCAAAAGTAAAACATCACATTAAATGTTTGAAGACTGCCCTTAAGAATATATTGCAATTGAAGGATTCCAAAAAGTAGAAAAATGTCTTGCATGTGTTTCTGTATATTTCATAGTTACGGTTATACAACTCTGGAACTCCCCAATGTTGACTATGAACTCCATGAAATCTCAGGTCATCAAATACAGGTGTTGGCAAAGAAACATCCTGCTTATAACCACCTACGGCCTTGCCTTTGTTGATGAACCAGTACTCCCCAAGATTGAACACCACTTTTAGGAAGCATTGAGGGTGGCAAGGGCACAGAATGTGCTGTGGGTGGGTGTATTAAATGTCCATCACAAAGAGTGGCCTGGCAGTACAACCCCCTGAGCTGGCAAAGTCTTAAAGGACATAACTGCTAGGCTGGGTCCACAGCAGGGCACCAAAAAAGTGAAAAATCTCATCCTCACTCTGCTACCTGTCACAGATGCATCCATCCATGGCAGTATCGGTAGGGTAACTAGCACAGAATCATTGTGAAAATGAAGTCCCGTCTTCACATTGAGGATACCCTCCAACTGCCACTATGCCAAATAGGACACATAGAACAGATCTAGCAACTCAAAATGTCTGTGACAGTCTGTGAGCATTTAGCAGCAGTAGCAGAATCGCATTACACCAAAGTCAATAATCTCATGGTCTGGCAAATTACCAACAAGCCAGGAGTTCAACACTGTTTCAATGATGAGTTCAGGAAGACAAGCCAGGAGCAGCGCCAAGTATACATAAAAATGAGGTGCCAACCTGGTGACTTACAATATAGGGCTACTTGCATGCTAAACAGCAAACACAGCATGCGATGGACAAGGCTAAACAGTGGTACAACCAACAGATCAGAGCGAAGGTCTGCAGTCTTAGTTATGAATGGTGGAAGAGAATTATACAACTAACAGGAGGTGGACTCTCCATAAATAATCCCATCTTCAGTGATTACAGAGCCCAGCACATCAGTGAAAAAGACCAGGCCAAAGTCAGCCAGATGGCCAAGTAAGTTGTAGCATTTGTACCGGGGTCCTGACCCAGGGCATGTTGGCTTCTGCCTGCCTTTCCTTTTTCTTTCTTCTCTCTCTTCCTTCTACTTTTGTTCTTTTTTCCCTGTTTTTTGCTGGCATCGGTTCCCTTCCTGAAGTGTTGGCAGCAGCGGGACCTTCCCAGAGTGTCAGTGGGCTCCTTTGCTGAAATAGCGGTTTCAGGAGGTGGCAGTGAGAGCAACGTAATCCAGACCAAGGTACCGGCTGCTTCGGTGTGGTGGGCCCAGCGTTGAGTTTGAGCTCAGTTTGGGTCCCGGCAGCTTCAGCAGCGGCTGCATTGCTGAGATCGCACCAGCGTGGACACATGGCAGCGACGACATCAGTGGAGGCAGGATGGCGCTGAATAATGGAAACACGGTTCCAGCAGCAGTGGCATGGCTCCAGGACTTGGTTGGGCACAGGTGCCTGACGGCGGAGGTGATGGAATCTGGCTGCGGTAGTGTGCAGGGATTCAGGGCACCTGAGTGTTTGCAGACTGAGGGATGGATTTTGTGGCCTTGTTTTACCTGGCGGCAAGGACTCATGGTGGAAGTGGGGGTGGGGCTTAATCTGGATGTTTCCTTTCCTTTTCGCTGTTTCTTTTATTTCTGCTTCTGTTATTAGTCCTACTTTTTGTATACTAAGATGGCGCTGAGAATGACTTTGCACACTTTTCGTTGTCCTCCTCTACTTGAGCTCATGTGACAATAGTATCTAAATCTAAAGTGAATGATTCACCTTGGCCTCCTAAAACCCCAGCATCACAGACATCGGTCTTCAATCAATTCAATTCACTCCACGTGATATTAAGAAGTGGTTGATGGCAATGGATACTGCAAAAGCTGTGGATCCTGACAACATTCCGCCAATAGAACTGAAGACTTAAGCTCCAGAACTTGCTGCATAATTGGTCAAGCTGTTCCTATACAGCTACAATCTGGCATCTGCCCGAAAATGTGGAAAATTACTCACGTATGTACCCAAATTGGCTAATGACCACCATTATCAGTCTACTCTCTGTCATCAGTAAAGTGCGAGAAGGAGTCATTGATTGTGCTATTAAGTGGCATTTTGCAAAGGAATAACATGCTCACTAAAGATCAGTTTGGGTTCCACCAGGGCCACTCAGCTCCTGACCTCAATACAGCCTTGGCTCAAACATGGACAAAAGAGCTGAACTCCAGTGAGAAGGTGAACGTGACTGTCCTTGACATCAAGGCCACATTTGATCAAGTGTAGCATCAAAGAACCCTAGTAAACTGGAGTCAATGGGAATCAAGGGGAAAGCTCTTCTCTGATTGGAGTCATACCTAGCACACCATCAAAGACAAAGCAGCCCACTTGATTGACAGCCCACCCACCAGCTTCAACATTTGCTCCTTTTGCCAGTGATGCACTATGGCAGCAATGCATACCATGTACAAAATGTGCCACAATAACTCAGCAAGACATCTTCCACTGCACCTTCCAAACCCATAAACTTTATCTTCGAGAAGGACAAGGGCAGCGGATGCATGGCAGCACCATGACCTGCAAGTTATCCTCCAAGTTACACACCATCCTGGTTTGGAAACATCTCACTATTCTTTCACTGTCACAGAGCCAAGATCTTGGAACTCCCATTCTAACTGCTTTGTGGGTGTACCTATACACCAAGGGCTGCAGAGGTTCAGCTAGGCAGTTCACCCACACATTCTCAAGGCAATTAGGGATTCGCAACAAATGCAAACATAGCCATTGATGCCCACATCCTATGAACAAAATTTTGAAAAAGAATGATCCCGGTGAAATGTAAGTTAAACATCAGAATGAAGGTTGTTGCAAATGCCATTTGATAGCACTGTTGACAACACTTCCCTCAATCTTTTGCTGATAATTGAAGCTGGACTGATGGAGGAGTAATTTGTTGATTTGCATTTATCTTGATTTTTGTGCATGGGACAAACCTTGGTAAATTTCCATATTGCTGAGTATGTGCCAGTGTTGTAGTTGTTTTAAGGCTAACGGCCCAGTTAGTTTTCTGAAGGAAAAGTCTTTACAGCCACAGCAAGGATGTTGTCAAGGTCCATTTTTGCTTTATTCAGTAACTTAAAAATTTTTATTTAAAGATTGCTTAGAGTGATTTGAATTGCCCAGATAGCAGTGATGCTGGGGATCTCAGAAGGAGGCTGAGATGGATCATTCAATCAGCAGTTTTTAAAAAATATTCTCTTGTGGGACATGAGCATTGCTGGCTGGCCAATATTTATCGTCCATCCTAGTTGCCCTTGAGAAGGTTTTGGTGAGCTGCCTTCTTGAGCTGCTGTAGTCCATGTTCCATAGGTAGACCCACAATGCTTGCACCTGGCTGCAGATGCTTCAGCTCAGCTTTGTTTCTGGCACGAAGGTACTGGATTCCACATCACTGATTACAGGATGTTTTAGGCATTTTCTCCTCTGCTTAGTTGTTCGATTGTTCACCACTAGTCACAATTGGTTGCAGCAGGACTGTCGTATATTCGTTTATGGTTGCCTTACAATATATTTAGCTTAAACTGAATAAATATTGGGAAACATTAGGATGGTACAGTGGCTCAGTGGTTAGCACTGTCGCTTCATAGTGCTGGGGACCTGGGTTCAATTCTAGCCTCGGGCAACTGTCTGTGTGGAGTTTGCACGTTGTCTGCGTGGGTTTTCTCCGGGTGCTCCAGTTTCCTTCTACAGTCCAAAGATGTGCAGGTTAGGTGGATTGGTCAGGCTAAATTGCCCATAGTGTCTAGGGATGTGTAAATTAGTTGGATTAGCCATGGGAAATCCAGGGATAGGGGATAGGGGATAGGGTATGGGGGGGGGTTTGAGTCTGGTTGGGGTGCTCTTTCGAGAGTCGATGTGGACTTGTTGGGCCAAATGGCCTGTTTCCACACTGTGGGGATTCTATGAAACTGGTTAGAATAAAGTAGGTTTGTTAATGAGCAGGAAATATTTCCATTGTGTAAGAAGTTTTCATTGGCTTACTGGACCAGAAAAATTGCTTTAGTTTTCAAGTATATTGAATTTTGATTTCAGGTACAATCAGAATTAATACTGATTGGGTTCGTATGAGAAATCTAAACATTTTGTATTTGTAGTACAATTACCCAGGGCCTGAGGAGCACATACAGTACACAGTTCAAAATAATGTCACTGTTGTAGTATGGTTATTGATAGATGTTCATGTTTTGATGTAGGTTATCTCCATTGATGTTCCATATTCACAAAATTTAGAATCAGACATGGTATTGTGGAAATTGACCAGAGTCACCCAGATCAGCTGATCGGATTTTGTGGTTTGCTTTTCACCCAGTTTTAAAGGTTGTGACTCTATAAGTGAATTAAACGGTCCTGGCTAGATATTTTTGTAGTAACTTGTTCAGTTATGTTATTACACACCTCTGCAGCAAATAGGACTCAAACCTAGGCCTCTTAGTTCAGAGATAGGGACACTACCACTGCACCACAACAGCATCCATTATCCTCCCTGTTCACAAGGGTCAAAAACGACCCAGCTGGGATTGCGTTCCTGATTACTGTTCAGTGAGTCCTGTGGCAAAAGCAAATTTGTGAATGTTTTGCTGAGGACAGAATTGGACAGATTGCGGTGCCCCTTGCAGTTCAATATCCTACCAACAGCCTGAAAAAAAGCCAACGGGTGAGCAACTGGAGCTCTGTCAGTAGCTGTGGAGCTGGGTGCCAGCAAAAAGTCTGCATCTTTAGCAGAAGGGAAATGAAATTGGTTAAAAGGCTTGTTTTAAAGTACAAATTGAACTAATTTGCTCTTAAAATGTATTTTAGTATGACAAGTAACTCACAATCTCCTAGATTTTAGAGATGACATGGCACAGAAAACTCCTCCAAGGTTCTTAGAAAGCTCATTAAAGACGATGTGTAGAACATATATTGGTTTTCAAGGTACCATGATGTTGCTCCATGAAAGACATCATGCTGTAATTTAAAAAGTCATTAATGGAAATTGACTGTATTGAAATGGAAGCTCACTGTGGTTTGAGGCTTTATTTTGTAAATTAACTCGAAAGCTTTCAAATATTTTAACCACTTAGGAGCCTTCATAAATGAGTTTTTAGCAGAATGGAAAATAATGAGCCTGTTTGTACAATAAAGGTGGGCCTGATGCTGAAATGTAATGAGGATCTCTTGTGGTGCAGGTGGGAGTGTCCCTACCTCTGAACCAGGAGACCTGGCTTTAAGTGTGTCGTAACATGTCTGAACAGGTTGATTTAAATAACCGCAAAGTAATGCATTTGTTGATAAAGGACCAAGACTGTTGCGGTTTTACTGTGTCAATACTGATAAAATAACTGAATGGTCAGGGTCAGTTGACGTGTTCTTTATCCCTGTCACTTCTGAGCAGAGCTTTGACTTTCTTGAGGTGCTTTCACACCACAGAAGACAAACCAGATGAATTCATAGCTGCCACCCTCCAATTACCTTTCTGCATCTCCTTTGTACATGTGTCAGCTGTACACCTACGTGTAGCATACATGCTTCACAGAAAGAAGGCTTCGTATTCCAATATCACTCTAGACATTTGAGCATACGATCAAGGCTGGCAATCTGGTGAGGAGTGAAGGTGTGCTACACTACCAGGGGTGCAGTCGTTCATATGAAATGTTAACCAAAGGCTTTGCCTGCCCTCTCAGGTGGATGTAAAAGATTCGAAGGTACTATTTAAGGAATAACTGTACAGTTCTTCTCAATGGCCTGGCCTTATCCCTCAACCAATTTTGGTAAAACAGATGATTTGGTTAGTTTGTTGGATCTTGCTGTGACAATTTATTTCCTGTCTTTTCTACACTGCAGCAGCAACTTCTCTTCAGAAGTGTTTAATTGACTCTAAAGCTCTTTGGGTCACCATGAGGTTGTGAAAGGTGCTACATGAAGGTGGGATTTTTATTATAAATGCTTCCCTATTGATTTTAATAGAATGTTTCAGGAATTGATGTGTGATGATATATGAATGTCTTCTTTGGTTAAGTTCACCAGTTTCAGTAGATATTTTCCTAATCAACCCGTTCATACATTATAACACATCTCTGGAAAAGTTACGACTTGAACAAAGTTTTTACCACTGCACCACAGGAAACCTCCCACTAGCTTCTGTAGTCAAACAAGGAAAATCAGCTCCACATGTTTGTACTTCAGGTTTCTTCATATTACAGATAAACATAACGTACCAGCTGTATTTTGCACAGAAGAGGAACGTGGTAGTCCATTTATGAAATTACAGCCACAGACCTTGTAAAATAAAAGCATCAACAAATCTGTAAATAACCAATATTACATAATTGATTCTCAAAATACTTTGCCCACTGATTGTGCTCTTTTGGGTTTTTTTATTTACAGGAGTAGTCACAAAGAACGTTGTAATAGGAGGGTAGAAAATGAGAATCGTGGACTTCCTTCAAAGATACCTTTG